AGCTTACTATGGCTTTTGTAGGCTTTGTGCGAATACCGGTCGACAAAACAGTGGAACTAAACTGGGTCCCGTTTGCTCACGCCCACCTTTAACCCTCCATGCCCTGTGTGTCGGTGCACCGCGAATGAGTATTGACACAAATCAGCGACATCTGCCTTTGCGATGACAAACGCCAGTAACAAAACGTGACCCAACGTCGTATACTTTCTAGCCTTTTTCGGTTAATTATGAGGAAGCAAAATGGTTATAGCTTGATTAGGAAAAAGAAGAGATACCGAATGATTTTCCGAGAACTACAAAGTAAGTATCAGAAGAAAACACGAACTGAAGACGACAAGCTCAAAGGCAATAAATTTTTTAAATAAAGAGCGGGAAAACATCGTCATGGGTTCATAGCTCGGAGCTTTCCATTTCGCCTTTGGTCCATCCACACGAAGCTCTTTAAACAGGTTTTTTTTTTGGTTAGGTGGCTACCTCAAAAATAGTTCCTTCCATATTGTACATAAGAATAGCTTCACTCGAAGTGGAGCTTGTCCATCCAGCGTCCTGAAAGACCCATCTCGAGATGCCTGTTACTCACCACACCTACTCTAGATACGCAAAGCGTGATAGGTACTTTCCGAAAACACTAACTATACGCCAATGATTTCGCCTCATATAATTTCTCATATAAAAAGAAATGGCTGATGTTGTAAATAGCGATGGAAAAAGGAGATTTCACGATTGATAGAATAAGATTCATTCTGTTGCGAAAAATACTGTCTTCTACCCTTCAATATACTCTGCTTAGTGTATAAAAGACGTTAATGTCGCCAAATATATAAGAAATCTTAGACTTTAATATTTATTTTAATATCCACGCTACGAATATAATTCAGACCACTACGACGATTTGTGCCCTCTTATTATGCGATTATTACACCCTGAATTCTATATCAATCTTTTACAAAAATTTACCCAAAATATGACTGCGTGTGTACTCTTGGCTTGTGCTTGATTCTATCCGGGAATCGAGTTTTTCTTCTAAGTTTTTTTAATCTGCATCCAGATAATTTCCGAAGCGGTTGAAAAAAACAACTAAACCGTAAAAATAATATCGGTACGTGAGTAATCTGCAGGGCGCTAAGGAAGCGAGGCTGAATAGATTTATAATAAACGATTAGGTATTTAATCCGTAATGATGATTTGTCTTTCCTTGACAAAAGAATAGTGACTTCTTAATAAAAAAAAAGGCTCATTTATTGACTTACCTAGCACAGACTGGCCTATCTGATCGATTTATAGGATTGCTAGACTGGTGAGCTTTTTTCGAGCGGTTCGATTTGTACCCAGAAACACGTTCGTTCGCTCATTATCTTTTACGACAACATATGCATCAATACGATGATGCGTACTAGATGGTTATTATCATTAGCTTAAGTTTTGAGGCTACTGTGATTTTTCTTCAACTGGCCTATCCAGGTGAATGAAAAACAAACACGACCAGGACTAGCCAAAGCAAATGCAAGAGAATCACAGAAGTAAAGTCAATCGGTATCGTCTTCATACTCCAGGACAGAAACAGTTTTCTATTACTGCTTCTACTGAAGCTTTTCATTAATAGGAAAGCGTCTAAGAGCTTTTTTCAATCTTCTATATTGTCCGAATTCAGTCAATACGATTGATCGGGAACAAACTCTTTTATTTATTATTTATTGCGATAAGGTATATAAATAGCCTTCAATAATGATGGAGCCAGTAAGGATAGATACCATCTGCTGAGATGTTTTGAGAGGTTTCAACTTAATTACAGCTGCAGGGACGTTAGATTGCAGCCCCTAAAAAGGATAAAATTTACGACGTGGCCGTTTTATGAAACGGCTAGTATAGCCTAGATTATTAAGCAGCCTAGCAATTGTCAGGATTCCTTTAGTTGTATTATCTTTACTCTACTTTCATTACCTCGAACCCAATCGGTTCAGAGCTTTTTAACTGTCCATCAAAAAAAAATAATGATAACAATAATTAAAATAAAATGCTATTTAGCTCTTCCTAATTCTCTAAGATACTTTGGGTAACTAGATTAAAATAGGCGACAGGCCAATCCAAACACAGTATCATTAGCGAGCGCTTTTGGTCACTGTGAATTTCACGGTACCAGATGTGAGACAACCAATCGGCGGTTCTTGTTGCTGTATACAGGAAAGCTATGTAGACTAATTCTAAATTTACATCAGGACAGATGACAGACGAAACAAACTTCAATCCGTTCATTGATTCCTTTATCTTCACTAGGGTGAGTTAAAATGGAATCATGACTCGAAGAAACTTTTGCTCCACAATCCCTCGCAAAGCCTACCTTGATACCAAAGAAAATTGTACTATGTATCAGGTGGGATGAGAAACGAATCGTGCCATTGTGGGCTGCTGCTGCTGCCGCCTTGATTCGGGTTTTTACCGTCAACAACTAACAAGATTACAATAAGCCACTGAAAAAACATTCGACGGAAACTACTGAGCGATAAAGGGCCGCCTTCTGCTTCAACAATGGCAGGCCACTTACATCTCTAGTTAGTCGGCAAAAATCGAAAAAAACTTTTCGAACGAAAAGAAAAGGGAAGGGAAACTTTAACGCACCCGCAACAGAACTACTCCTTGTTTCGATATCTACAAGATTCTCGTAATGGTGATTCATTTAGCTTTTATAAAGGGATACAAAAGACACTTGTCGCATTTTTTCGCCCAGAGACCACAGGGGTTCTACAGTAATGCGATGATGGTCCTATCAGAAAATGGCAGAAGGTCATCGATCAAAATGGCGTATATTTAGCTAGTTAATATCACTTCAGAAGCCAAGGATACTTGCGTTAATGTTGGTTAAAAAGAAATCGATACTTTGTCGACCTTAAAAGTGTAGCAGAGATACAGCGAGCAATATAAATTGTCTAGCAGAGCAATTAAGCCACATAGTTTTATAAGGGTGTGATCGTATTAGCGTGATCCGGACACCAGGCCCAAGCGGTTAAGGCAAGCGGCAAGGCATTTAATGAATGCGGTATTCTGTCCTTTTAAAGGCTGTATTACTGAAAGCGTTAGAGGATTCTAAATGTCCCCAGTTAATCAGCCTACTGATCCAGTCAGCGGCATCTTGCCGTCCACTGATTTCGAGTTAGCGCTGACTGCCGGTATGACCGAACTCGTGTGCTTTGAATGGAGCCAGCCAGGAACACCTAGCGCCGTCAACAGCATTGCCCTACGAGACTATGAGGAAAGCTGAATCGGCGTTGTTAAATGACCTGGAAGGTCAAGAACAGACCTAAAAGGGCTGGCTGCTGACAATGTTATCCTTTCTACCAATGGGCAAATCAGCAGTAGCTTATGCTAACAAAAGGGGTCAGAAGCGAAAAATGAAGTGTTGAGGACTGGCAAGTCTGCCGTCATAGTATTAGTTGACAATCACATCGAAAGGCTCTGTATTTGTTGTTTAGACTAGAAACCAAACATTTCAGGGTTAAGCCGTCGCTGGGCATTCCATCAAACGTATGACGCTAATGCGAACGGCAGTGTGTCCACATTCTGATACATGACATTTAATCAGATTAGTAGTACTACTGTGAGCTGTGAGGGCGTGAAAGGAGAGAAAGGTGTTGTTATAACGACTTTGAACCAAATGGGGGGAGAAAAGGGCCATTTAACTATCACAAATAGCTTCGTTTTTGTAGCTTCATTTAACTGCAGAGCCATTTCAATTTCGGGTATATGAATTGACGCAATGGTGCTCCATTTATTTTTCTATGTGTATGCAACAAAGGAATAGGTCATGTTATAGATGGCGACGCTTATTCGATTCGGATATTTCATTGCTGACAACAAACTTTCTATTTCAAATGTACCCGCCAAAATCTCTGGATTACTTGCGATTCGATCACAGGCAGAATGTCTCGACCCGCATCCAAATAGACATATTTCCAACAAGATATATTAGCATTCAAATGGGTTTTGAATAAGGTTGGGTTTGAAGATAAAGAGCATTCCTTCCGCTAGCGACTTTTTGTTTTGTAGTAATGCTAGTTTGTCGAGAACGACACATATTAATATTAGGCCCGCCTTCAGTCGTTTTCTTCTTAACGGGAAACGGAAGAGTAGCGATTCTCCTTCGTGGTCGAACGCCCCAGTTCGTGCCTTTACCAACCTTTTTTGCCATATATATATATATATATATATATATATATGTATACATAACTATTGACTGTGCACTGGCTTCCTTCGAAAGGCCATTTCGCAGGATGCCGCGCTCTGCCGGTCATGTCAGCTTGAATTTAGGCCTGCCATTCATCCATGAAGACCGGTCCTGAGATTGTATATGAGTTGGATAGAAAACAGCAGGCCATAGGGTTTTCTTCCACGCCTGTTTTAGAGCAACCTACAACAATAACATTTAAATTCTATGTACGTATGTATGTACACATATAACACTTTCGCGAACGTAAGAAATACGCCTTGACTCTATCATTGTTCTACCTATGTATATACACTGTGTGTAACTATGAAACAATTTGAGATCATTTCGAAAAACCGGCTATGAAGACGTTTACGTAGTTCGGCACTGTTATGCACTGACCTGTTGTTTCAGTCCGCAATGATGCTAAAATCTGCGTGACTGTTAAACGCATGAATTCCGCTCCTGCTACATGGAGTATGCTATAGAAAAAGAAAAAATAAAAGGGATAGAAGGTAAACTGTTAGACCAGACAACAGTTCACAATTTTTGTGTTTTCTCCAGGGAGGAAGGTCACGCGACTCTATTGGTTGTAGTAAAAAAACAACAAGTGATTGACCGCGCCTCAGCGAATATTCCCGATCGTATTCTCTAGTTACTATTTAGGTTTACTACTATATACTTTTTACGTATGTGCTGATATACCACATAGCTCGTTATTTGTCGTGAAATATCTTACCTTTTTTTTCTCTGTCTTTCTGTGTACTGATCCTCTCGCTGCATCGACTAAAATCGATTCCAGGCGATTCGATGGACCCCCAGTCGATCGAGGCTGGCGGAGCTGGAGCAGGCGATGGAGGCAATCTCACGAGCTATGAAAGGAATCTCTACCTATACCACGAGGAATGCCCAGATCGTCCCAGGGTAGCTACACTGCTCAGCAGTTTGGCCGACTATGACGCCGTCATTCCCGCTAATCCCGGAGAAGATCCACCTCCTGCTGCCAAGGTAAGTAGCACCGATGACGGCGACGATGACGAAAAAAAGACTACACAATCATGACAACAAAGCCTACCACGAATGTGCTACCAGAATTAGCCCCGTTTACCTACTAAGAAATTGAACGACATAGCCCTAACTGATTCGGTTCGAAATTTGTGTGTACCTAAACAAGCCCATGTGCACTTCATTTTAAATTGACAGTTTCTAGGGGCAAAATTATGAACATATCGGCTGATTGACCGGGTACGGGGATATTTCTAGGAAATACATGAAAAATCGACTGTGACAATTAGCAAGGTAGACTACGACGTAATAGTATTAATAGCTGCGCAGAGATCAAAAAGCGGATAATAGTTTTGTCGAACCCTTAATGCATATTTACGTTCAGGGATAGAACAAATTCGCCCAGACGCTGAAATAGTTAGATAACTTGCATTTATTGGCAACCGCGATGATATAAGCTAAGTTCATAGAGAGAACACATGTTCCGCTAATGTATGACTTAGGACGCACGTGATGCATTGCTATATATACTAAGCTATGAAAAAGACCTATTTACTACTGTATATCTGATTTTCTAGACGGCTATAGAAGAGGCCGATTTCGTTCATTAAAGAAAACTTGGCTGATAAACACTACAACACTTTCCCACATTTCTGCAACGTTGTTAGACCTTAGCATGCAATTCTTGTTACAATGGAGCCTATTACGGTTATCTACATGTACATAGACTTTATACGTTACTGTATGTACAATTATATTGTATTTTTTCGTCCCTGTTGTTACTATATCGGCGTATATGTTTAGCTTACAGTGTCCTAAAACGGCTTTACGAAAATGGTCCACTTGCTGGAGAAACCCTATATATACACCGGTTAATTTTGCCAGTACTTATTCACTGCCCCTTCCTTACAAATTCTGGCGTTGCTTCATGCCGATCCAAAATTATCACAATGGCATCTGTTATCATAAAGTAAGTTTTCATGGGCAGTTCTTCGCTGTGAAGGGGTCGACCGTCAACTGCGGGCAACAGCAAACAGACGGAAGGAAACGGGTTAGAACGAAAACTCGAAACAGACCAAGTGCTACATGCAGACGTTAAGGTCCGCGGCTGTAGCAGCAGCAGCAGCAGCAGCACCAAGCGGTATTGGAAACGCAAAACATTTCGAGTTTTTTTCTGTAGTAAAGTTTCTTACAGGCAGAGTTCAGAAGCGGCCTCGCAAAAAAAGACAGCATTACAGGGCAAACAGGGATAAAAGCGCACATATATCTGTGTAAAAATCTGTAAAGGTTGGTTTAAACAAATCTGAAGCTCGATCCCAGTTATGGACATCGTAGTTAGACGACGCTAATATCTAGTTTAGTTAGCAGAGTAGCTAAGTAGCAGGACCACGGATATGTATATACAAATGCATAAACCTTACGTAAGTGTGAGACAAATTTATATTTTGCCTAATAATGTTTCGATCATACAAATAATGATTTGGTAGATACCATAGGGTACTTCTGAATGGAAATGCCTATGAGAAAGGTTTAACAGACATTGATCAGTTCGTGTTTGTATAGAAATCCATAGCCGCTATTCTCTATCTCTATATGTGAAGACTGAAGGTACCAGAATCCCCCGTTTTGATTTCAGACTTGCTAACAACGGCAAGCCACGCTTTGATCATTTATTGAAAATAGAGGTCAATTTAACTAGATATGAGAATAGTCTTTAAATAGGTACTACCGTTTTGTATGCGACATGTTGCGCTGCGACCTATATTGAAAAGAGCATTTAAGTAACAACGACATTGAACAAAGTTAAGGGTATAGAATTTGTCCTGACAGAGAGGCCGAGCGAAACAGATTGGTTCTATGCCTTGGGCCTAAAGTAATTCTCAGAAGCGATGCCTATTACCGGGCTTACTAGACGCCAGACGTGAACGTTACCGTCTATTTTCTCGGTTTGACGATTGTTGTGCGAGACATTGTTGGAAGTCGTGTCGTTGAGCATTCGAGAGGTGAACTAACTAGCCAGGATTGGAGGTAGCTGACGCTTGTTGAATCAATTAGGTAACTGTGACTCCCTTTGCTGTCAAAGACTGCGAGCTAATGCTTGTTTTACTTAAAAAGCCTAACCCATTATGGGCCTTGAATTTGACGCCTTAAAGTAGCTTTAAATCCTGTCACTTGTCTTCCCTTCAACAAAAAGGAACGGCAACAATAATGTTGTTATCGATACTTCTTGGTTTGCAGCTTGATGCAAACGTCGCGAAACTCACGTTGTTACCGTTTCCCAAGGCAACTCGCTTAGGTTTAGCGCCTTCTCTAAGGCCTACGTCCTCTTTTTTTTTAGAGAACTCGGAAAATTCAGTTTCTCTTGCAGCTACTACTATCCTCGCACAAAGCAGCCGTCAGCAGCGACAGCGACTTCAGAGGATAGCCGGTTCAATTTATAGCACATCGAATGTCTGAGACAAAATTTCCAGACGGATCAGTCGTTTTTTGGCTTGCTCTGATATTCTGTTCCCCTTAGTTTGGTACCTTAAGCCGAACCCACTTACTAGTTTTCGTTGTTGAGATGTGTACCATCCCTCCGCTCCTTTTTAGTCTCTCCCGCAAACTGCGTTGGCGTAACTTTCTGTTATCATTCCTGGCATCGCTACGTCAGGCACGCGTGCCTTTCTTTTTGGTTCCACAACAACTTCGTGAATTACTAGTAGTACGGGATGCTCTTGCAAGAAAAGAAGAAGCAAAAGAGCAGCTGCGGACGGATAATGAGTCGAGAGTTGGATTCAGGGGGTTTCCACGATAGGCCGCCAGGGTGGGTCGGAGACTACCTGCAAAGCTGGTCGCGTGCTGCTTTAATGCCCCAACAATAGCCACGTTAGATACCGGGCTTGACCCGTCGGTCAAAATGGACCCGGCAGAGAACAATAACGACCTACAATTACCTTACCTGGCCAGCTAGTAAATGCGAATGAGAAATTGTGATAGGAAAACGCATTGTCACTCAATTTGCACAGAGTTCACAGTCTATGGTCGTCGACCATTTACGGGGTAGGGCGCGCGAGATGGAACGGCTCCAAAGATCCCTGAAATATCGTCGGGATGGGATGGGTTGGATAGGCGCAGTGTGATACCGTGGGATCACACGAGGGCGACGGGAGGTGAAGGCAATCGTTGCCACAACAGGGGAGGCTGCAGTAGTACTGCTGATCTATTTTGAACGCTCGTTAAGAACAATACATATAATGTTGCTGTTCTGAACGCCGCCAGCACGTGCCAAACGAGCTCGCACGGAACAGTAATGGGCCTCTCTGGCATCATACAGAAGAACGCCAATGGAAAACGGACAATTTATTTGTGACAACTAATTTGCCAGCGCTTGTTCTGATAAAAGCTCAAGGGGATCGATATTTGGAAGAGAACTGAGGGTGGCAGCAAGTTAGTAACTGCCTAGTATGCATAGCCTTCTTTTTCCTCGACAGTCTTATGGCCCTCGACTGTGGCAAGCTATTACAAAGAAAATTCAGATATAGAATCCACACAATCGTATAGGGATACAATTGAGAACAACTAACAATAGTTTATACTCAATGGGAACGACAGAATCTCACAGTAGCAGCGTAAAATAATTTCGTAGGTACTGTAGTGTGAGGCTATTGTACGCCACGTAAATGTCGAGACGTATGCTTACTTTTATATACAGCTCACGTCGTTTAAAGTTTTCTCTTCTATAAATCAGTATATTCGTAAAAGATTTATATTAATACGGCTATACATCTTGTAAGCAAAAACGTTTTTTCTATATAAAGGATAATTTAATTATATAGAAAGCATTTTAAGAGTCAGATCACTATATAACTTCCTGGGATATATATATATGTATAGTTGTCATTGATTACAGTTGACAGACGAGCTTTCAAAGCTTTGTAGAGTATTCGGTCGCAACAACGTTCCTAAAAAGATTAAATAGTTATGAACGCCCGCTGCCCTTGATAGCCCGCAGCTGCCCCAGACAAGTTAATTCAACAGCTTTTGTTCGTCTATTAGGGCAAAAATAAACTAGGTGGTTTCAACATGACCATGATGTAATAGTTTCTCAGCACAACTAGGATGCTCGGAGTGTTTTCGACCATCTGAAGTGACATAGTTGATAACCGAAATCACACGATCAGCTTGAATATATGAATCAAAACAGGCTTAATCGACCCTGCTGTTTTCGATGTAAGCCGCACTTGGAGCGAGACGATGAGGTCGTACCTTGTCGTCCGTCTGATAGTCACACTATGCACCGTGCCACTCACTCATCGGTAAAACCCTTGACGAATTAGACGAGGGAACTCTTTAGTCCAAATTTATTCGGAACTGCCACCAGCGTTGCCCTGTCCATTATTCAACGCCATTCTCGGGCTGGCGATACAGACCGGTACGTCCCAGGCGGATTTTTCGTTAATGATAGTTGCGTAAACTGTCTCTATAGAACACCGCACGTGTTCTATCTGTAATAAATTCACCAGTGATTTGCGTTTTTTTCTGCTTCTTCGGTATGTTTTTGATAATTTCATAACAATTGTTCACATTCATCCTTCAGGGAAGGCATACTCTATGCGACTGAAAAAACTTCGGTAACATTTCTTCTGTAGTATTCGACTTCTTCAGATTTCATACTTGAGGTAATAACTGCACCGATCATGAGCTGTTGTTTTCAATGTTTGGCATTCTACCGATGCCTGACTGTTAATATCTTTTGGCGCGCTAATTAACTCGGTACAAATTAAGTATCACATTCCGTCTTCGTTCTCTCGTCTACCCCCATTTAAGTAAAAAGAAAACAAACTGAGCAAGAGTAGAGTCCTTCCCGGTAGCTAAGCGGTTCTATCTGCGATCAACAGGCCCAGCAGGTAGTACGCGTGCATAGTTACTAATTAAGTATTGAAGGTGAGCTATGTACGATGTAGGTACGTAGCAAGTGGGCGAAGAGCAATAACCGTGTGCATGATGCACGAGAGTAGGAG